TTAGAATAGAAAAATAATAATAATAATTAAATTAAGAAGTATTAAAAGTTCTGTGTTTTTCATGCTGTTTGATATCATTCTGATCTCTGTTGATCAAAGTACCCATCGCGTGTCAATAGATTATGCAGTCATTCTTAGCAGTAAATTAAGTTTTTAAATCATTCAAAAATGCATATGTAATCTCGCTCTCTCTCTCTCTCTCTCTCTCTCTCTCTCTCTCTCTCTCTCTCTCTATATATATATATATATATATATATATATATATATATATATATATATATATATGTATGTATACACACATTTCAATCACTTGTTGAAATAAAAGCAAAAAAAAGGAAAATCCTACACCGAATGAGAGAGAGAGAGAGAGAAAAAAAAATGCATAAACTCGCTTGACTTCGTGATATAGTTCGACATCTTTATCTATTGCAAGGCTGCATTCCATATATATGTGGATTTTGTCCTCTCATAAATCGTCCCTCGCTGCATCATTTTCGTTACTCCGTGAGATAACATGGACATATATATGCTATTTGTTTGTTTGTTTGTTTTTTATTTTGAGCACATTTTCAGGAACAAATGTTCTGTATTTTGATATGTCTGTTATGTCAGTTTAGATATGTCTTTGTGTTTCTGTGTGTGTGTGTTATAAAAATTATAGTAATGATAATAATAATGATAACAATATTCATGATAATAATGATAGCAATAATCATAATAATATGATAATGATAGAATAACAATAATAATAGTAATTATAGTAGAAATAGTAATAATAATAACAATAAAGATAACAACAAAATTGTAAATGTGATAATATCAAAATTATGATAATCATAGCGATAATAAAAATAATAATGTAACTGTAATGATTATAATAGTATTACGAAGATAAAACAACAACACTAATGAAAATAATAATGATAGTAATAAAAATGATACTAAGAATGATGGTGATGAGGATAATAATAATAATAATAATTATTATTATTATTATTATTATTATTATTATTATTATTATTATTATTATTATTATCATTATTATCATTATTATTTTTTTTTTTTTTTTTTTTTTATAATCATTATTATCATCATTAGAATTAGTAGTATCATCATTATTATTATGTCATTGATAATGATAAAACTAAGTTTACCAATAATGCTAAAAAATGCTAAAAAATAAAACATGACCACAGACCTGATACGACTAATCACGAACGAAATACAAGCACACTTTCGTGCAAATGATACTAAGTGAAGGTCAGTGCATGGGAAAAAGGTCAGACCGGGTCACTCTTTTTTTTTTCTTTTTTTTTTACGTATTTCGAAATAGCTTTTGCTTCTGATGTATGCGCTGAAGAGGAAAAAGAAAAGGTTCAATTTAATGTACATAAATCAAGAGGAGTAGTTATGTATTTTGTATGTGTGATAGTTTATATATATATATATATATATATATATATATATATATATATATATATATATATATATATATGCATATATGTATGTATGTATAAGAGAGAGAGAGAGAGAAAGAGAGAGAGAGAGAGAGAGAGAGAGAGAGAGAGAGAGAGAGAGAGAGAGAGAGAGAGAGAGAGAGAAATAGACAGACAGACAGAGACAGAGACTGAGACAGACAGACATAGAGGGAGACGGAATCAGACAGACATAGAGGGAGACAGAATCAGACAGACAAACAGAAACAGAGAGAGAAAGAGACAGATGAACAGACAGACAGACAGACAGAAAGAGACAGACAGACACAGAAAGAGACAGAATCAGACATACAAACAGACAAAGAGATTGGCAGAATCAGAGGCAGACAGACAGAGAGAGAGGAGAGACAGAATCAGAAAGAAAGAAACATAGAGACAGAAGACAGACAGTGAAAGACATATATACAAATACATGCAAATATACCGCAGCCAGACAAACATCGATATACCTTTAACATCATGTATATTTTTGCAGTTTCAAACAACATCAAATCATATATCGGGAGTAAATATTTCATATACCTTAGCTATTGCAATTTCAAGTGAAAACTCTTTCCCTCTACAGTATATCGCTAGAACATTATTTCCTAAACAGTAGGTAATAAAACATAAGTTCATTAATCTATATACCTTTATCATTAACATATATCGTCACATATAAATAACTATGTGAATGTTATCAGTACGGTCTATATCAGCAGTTCCTAAATTGTCATTATTCCATATCATTAATTTAGGCAATGATTTCGTACCGGTAATTCGTGAATTACCATTAAATCATTACCTCATTAAGGAAATCTTGACTCTACTAAAAAAAAGGGCGCTTCGTGTGATATTTGCATTTTAGAAGTCGCAGAATATTGCATAAAAGATGTTTCAGAAGTATACGTGATGGAGGCACTTTTACTCAGACTGGGTGAGGGGGTGGTTATAACATATGTAAATATTACTTATTTGCATGTTTATAACGATTGTCCAAAGAAGGTGTAGTACTGAATAACCAA